TTCTCGTATTCAGGTTATTACGATAATTACGTTCTCTTGAATATTCAGTTTACAGTCAAAAAGAGACCGCGGAACTCTAAGTGACTCGAGTCTAACTGACTCCTGCGTACTTGTGTAAGACGAACGCATTTTGTATCTTTCGAGCCGAATATTAAAGTCATATATCACCAGCATGATTCAATCACAAGTACCTTGAATTTTGGTCACACTACGCGCTGTGGCATATAATATATTTAGGTAGTTCTCATAAATTGTGAAGCAAGCCAGAAGAACGCCTCTCACTGCGACTACGCGAAAACCCTCGCTCAGGGCATCAAGAATTCCTTTCTTCTCGATGAGGTATGGTTGCGTCCCCAGTGTATATATCCACTCTTATTTTCTACAACTTGTGTTCACAGAAAACTTCTGCAGTCAAATCCTTGGCTCATTCTGAGAATACAGCCGTCGAAATAGCCACCGCTCTTAACAATAAGGTGAGGTCATCTGTTGCTCGCTACGGAATACCATAGAAAACCTGCATGTTAAGGTGGATTTGATCGTAGTTCCCATGAGAACAGGAGCTGCTTATACGGGCATTTCCAAGTTAAGGTGAGGTCATCTGTTGCTCGCTACGGAATACCATAAAAAACCTGCATGTTAAGGTGGATTTGATCGTAGTTCCCATGAGAACAGGAGCTGCTTATACGGGCATTTCCAAGTACGTCAAAGAACATCTTCCTGGTACGAAGGTTCGTTGGTTTGTAAAATTTCTTCTCTTATACTTACCGATTTTCGCTTCTTTGCATTGTTCTTAACCATCGCTTGCATATACGTATAAAACTCGATACCGCAAAAATCACCATGAACTACGCTTTTGCAAAAATCACCATGAACTACGCTTTTGAAAATTTAAAAACTAAGAGGAACTGGTCAAAGGTTCTTTATCAAGCAGCGTACTCGAAAGGTGAGCTTTGCCAGAGTCAAATTCTTTCTACATCTCGATTTTGGATCTCCTTGAGGAAATTTCTGCAGTGAAGGTGTGAAGAAAGACATCAAAAGTACAGGGGTTGATTTCACGACCCATGTACTTTTGATGTTAGCTTGTACAGGGGTAGCTGAGGTGTAAATCAGACGGAGATACCCTATCAGGCGAAGCTATCCTCACAATGTACGGAACGCCAGATCACATCGAGACTCTTGCTCCGTCAGAGTACAAACTAGCATATGTGAGATTAAGTCGGACGAAATAGGCCAAGTTAAGATCTAAAGCAGTAGGGCCGCGTTGGAGCGCCAGTTCCGGGTGGAGCGTGGGTGAAACGAGGGCCTAGCTGAGGTGTAAATCAGACGGAGATACCCTATCAGGCGAAGCTATCCTCACAATGTACGGAACGCCAGATCACATCGAGACTCTTGCTCCGTCAGAGTACAAACTAGCATATGTGAGATTAAGTCGGACGAAATAGGCCAAGTTAAGATCTAAAGCAGTAGGGCCGCGTTGGAGCGCCAGTTCCGGGTGGAGCGTGGGTGAAACGAGGGCCTCAAGCAGGAAGGTTACAATGCGCTTCAAGGCAGTCAAGAAGCGAGAAAATGATCCGAGCTGCTGAAATGCACAGGTTTTGAGCTGGTCCGCATCTGTATATACGCGAAGCGAAATTTTCAGGGAACGAAATTACTTTATGTTCTGAGCAGCCAGAAAAAGCTCAAACGTGGGCTCAGCTAGGATCGAAAATTTACAGTCCTGGCCAAAAAAGTCCAAGTATGTAGCTATCCATAGCTGTTGAGTTGGCTAAGGAAGTCAGAAGCTAAAGCTAAAACTGCACGCGACGATTGATATTAATCGAAATTGCAACTGTGGTGGGAATTTATTGTAGTGTATGGAGCCAGCATATATCGACTTGTTTCATTGACCATCTACTCAAGCGCCACGCTTATTGCCCATATAGCGTTCAGATTTTGAAGAAGTAAGGCCGGCATGATAAGAATTGAGCGGTCATAGGTCGAAATCGAGCAATCACTTCCGATAAATATCAGTTCACTATGTAGTTGACGGAATATCTACAAGTTAGCTTTCTTCAGGAAGAAGCTGTAGAGTAGTCGACGAAATAGTGTGAGAATATTGCTACAACTAGTGATATTTATATACAGTATCGATTTGCCGCTAAAAGTATCGGCCATTAGTTTTTTTCCATTTTTTTCGAATCTCAAGGGGTATTCCGAGTTTGACATAAAAAAACGAAAGGCTCGGCGGGGGTGATGCAGTAAGTGAAATCCAAAGCAGATTTCATTGGAGTTGAAGCTTAAATAATGTGTTTAGCTGTTCTCAATAGTAAGCTTTGCATGAAAAGATTATTTAGGTATATGGCGTTCGTTGTCACGACTCAGAATTTCCTTCTGTTCCTGAGTTGGGCTGTGGAGATTTCCCAGCAACGGCTGATATTACGTCTGGCACGGGAGTTGAAGTGGTGTCGGCTAAGGCATGTCTTGCTAACCGCATCTTAAGGATGCAGGATGATTTTTGTACTGCTTCTATCGACAAATTGCAGGACGCTTTCCTTACGGCTCGCAGTTTGATCAAAGGAGAAGGCCTGATGGTAGGACCGTCTTCAGGAGCAGCGGTGTTCGTCGCGTTAGAGGTTCGATACATTACTTTCTTTCAATAGTGATTTTGAAATTTCACAGTTACAAGTGCAAAATTTCGCGATTATGTGAAATCTAAGCATCTACATCTCACTAACCTGTGTTAAGATGTCGATGTATTCAATTTTGATCTCATAACGGTGACGGGATTGAACTTTTTAAATTTTTTGGTGATCGAGGGAAACTTCTTTGAAAAGTGCTTCTTGATCTTGTCGTTTCTAAATATACATGTGACAATCTTGCATTTTAGATGGCTAAACTTCTGCCGGAGAACAGCAATATCGTGGTTGTAGCTGCTGATGGAATTAGGAATTATATGTGAGTAACTCTGATCTGTTACAAGAAGTGTTCACGATAGTAATTTTCGCTGCATGTTATCGGTTGTATTAAAACTTCCTGAACAGGGCTGCAAATGATATCGGTGTCAGTCTGAGGATCGGTGAGCCTTTCACCCTTTTTTTCAACAAGTTACCGAGAGAACCATCTCTCTGAGAACTCAGTGGCCAAGCCGAGCATCGATCCGGGCGTTCCTCGGATTGTGAGTGTGGTAATATACTTGGCTCAAGGCGGTTTAAACAAGAACAGCAACATTTCTTCTCAGTTTCACAGGTACTTGCACTGTGGACAATAGGCCCAAATCCGCAAATTCCAGCGATATCGAACAGCAATAAACCCTTCAAGTATTAAAGTTGAGAAACATTAACATCAGTATTGCGATGCTTTCTTGGTTTCTTTTTATCAAAAATACATATGTTACGAGAAGGCAAAACGACCACGTGTATCAAAGATCAAATTATTAGGGTGTCCGGAAGGTTTCAAGGAAATTCAGTTGGTTTGTTCATCACAAAGTAACAGCTACAATAAAGTCAGTAATCAAGATACTAACCCTTCTTGGCCATAATTTCCCTTCATCGACCGCGCAGGGCGTATGTCGTTTCTCTAGAGCAGCGCGACGCAATCCATTCATCTACCCCCTACCTGGCTTCCTGACTATTGCTGAATTTCTTCTCATTGAAGCAGGTCTGTAGGCTTCTAAAAGTATGATAGTCGTATGGGTTGAGGTCAGGTGCATACGTAGGGAATGGGGTAGTCAGGTCGACGTCCTCGCATGGGGTGGTCTAGCATTATCCACCACAATCAAAAATTCCCTCGTAGTCGTTTTGAAAACACTTTGCCTCCGTTGTTCACACAGCACTTGCGTTCACTGCTGTACATATGGATTTCATATCAATACACTCGGTGGTGTGTGCTTTGTTTTCATATCACATCTACTTTTCATCCTGAGCAAAAATGAAGTCGGTTCATGTCGAGAACTTCTGGCGCTTATTGGCTCGCACTCGTCGCGCCTGCTCAGTCAGGGAGCGTGGGATATCTGCAGGCTTTAGAATTGACTTTTGCGTAGAACGTCTTTTAATCAAATAGGGAGTAGATTTCGTTTTTTCCATTTCTTGAAGCTTCAAGGAGGACTGTTCTGTCGGGATGCCCGAACAGTGTCAGTGTCTGCGGACAGAAAACCTCCACTTCGTCTGCTTAGAGCCTCGTTTTAGCAAATCTCTCCTTGAAGGAATCGGTCGTGCCATTCTTGGTAGGTGACAATGTGCAGGTGGCCCATTAGTCACCATATCTCATTCCAAGCATGAGTATCGGACCGTAATGGTGAAGGCTCTCATAGTCTTGTCCATCGCGCATCTCTCGGTCCATGATTGCTCGAAGGTACCAAAATTCATTTCTCTTTAAGCCCATTTTCCTGCGTATTACCTCGCACTCTTACTTTTTTCCGTACAGAATCCTTTCAAGATGGTAATTTAGTGAGATTTAGTGGGATTGAGTGGGATTTACCTTACCTTACTTCATAAACAATCAGGGACGTACTGTAACCAAAGCTTAACATATCAATCATGTCAATCGCAAGCTCTTTTGATAAGACGTCAATTCTTTGACTTTCTGCGCCGCACATTCTTACACCGAGAAGGCCGTGAGTATGAGTTTCGGCATGTATTTTCATGATCGAGATTAATGCAGCTCGACCTTTTGCTTATGATCCTCCCATTTGCTTCAAGTAATTCTCTACATGTGCAGCATCTGTAGTTCGGAAGAGTAGGAAATGCATGCGAAACTGATTGGCTGTCTTGCAGGAATCAGTTCATCGATGACAATTGGCTTCTGAAGAACAAAGTCATCACTCATATTGAGAAACAAACTGCGATACCAAAAGAGCAAGTTTATACTTTTTGTCGTGGCACTCACCGTTATATAATCATATACCAAATTTGTAGGAACTTTGATCCGAAAGTTCTCGTTTACGATCCTACTACACTAGCTGGAGTTTGGAAACAAGACGAAACGACGAAAAAATGGACGAACTGTTCTTACAAATTCAAACCCTTCAGGTTAACATTAGCTTTGATCATAAAACTTCACTTCCATAGCACTTATATAGTTTTATGCATCCGTTCTGTCTTCTCGAAACTATTTCTGCACCTTTCCTTCTTCCCTTCCGTTCATACCTTCTTCACTTCTAATCCAATCACTCCTTCCCCCCCACCTCCATACTCCTAACCTAGCTTCAGTACCTTTAAGCAAGTCTCTTCACCTTATGCGAAACGCTGAATGGCAAATCTCACCGCGATCTGAACCTGCACCAGCTTCAATTAATACATGGGCTTTTTTCAGAATTTCCTTTCGATTGCTCTTTTAATCGTTGTGCTTTGAGGAAAGAGCGTCCAGCTGTCATGGAGAATGTGTTGGAAGCCATCGGCAATACCCCTCTTGTGAAGCTTCAAAAGATTCCTCATGATAATGGCGTACAGTGCAATATGTGTAAGTCACTATTTTCTTCTATGATTGCAGAGGTCGAACCCACATTCCGGAGAAAAGGGAAAACATGAGCTACTCTAAGTGAAAAATAATTTAATTTGAAATATATAACTTAATCCCGACACAAGCCAGGAAAAAGCTGCAGTATTCAATGAAGAGCTTTTTATACAAAAAATCATTGCAAAGTAAGATACTGGTTTTTAAACAAGGGCAAACTGAAAATTCGAAAATTCTGTTCATTGATCTTCTTACTAGTTGCGGTGTTACAAGATCCATCTTTCATTTTTCGAGTTTACACATTGAATTCTTCGTGGAATAAAATGAGATCCTTCAAGGAACTTTCCTTTAAACGATCGAAATTCGAAATTCTCACCATCTGCAACTTTTTAAAGCATTAAAATGTTTGAATAATTGTAGATATATTAGTAGAATGATGTGGAGTGTCACGATAAGATTCTTAACATCTTCATGCTCTGTGAAGAGTCATTCGTTATTTCAACTGTATGCACCATAGAAATGAGGCATGATCCATCATCCCGCCTAGGTCGTAGGCAACATAGAGGGGGCCAAAATTCAGGAACTTCTTTCACTTCATTCGCTGGTACTTAGTTGCACAAGTAGATTTTCGTGCAATACGCATAATTCTGAAGGCTCCCAATATCTCTGAGGTGAAGGCTAATTCAATGCCATTTGCAATTGTTTGCATGCAAGAGGCGGAAGGACATAGTGAAATCTTCCGTGTTTTCAATACCGACCGTCTGAAGGCTGTTAAGTGACACATAGAAGCAGAACCAATCAAGGACCACTGCAAAGCAGTAAGAAGGCTAGTGTTTTCTAAGATTGGACTATTCAAGTATAGTTCCTTTGCGAGTCGATCGTGATCCTTCGTGACCCATGAAAAGATAGGCAAATGAGCAGGAATCGACATGGTGTCGATGTGGCTGATTATCAAGTGAAAGATTCATTGCCATACCTATCTGCGCCCAAGTGCCGTTTTAATTCCAGTCACAAGTATAGGGTTAATAGGGTTATAACACCCTGGAGTGGGTGACAGTTTACAGATCCTAGTCGATCAAGAGTGGTGCCGACGCGAGCTACCCGTCTTTATTAGCACGGTGGAATGGCCCATCTTGTTCTCCAGGTCTTGAACCTTTTGGCTCCTCCGCACCATCCCTGTTTGAAAGAGAACCTGTCGAATCGCAATCTCAGTCTGGAGTCTTTGAAAGCAAGACTCAAGAACGGTTGTGGAGAAGAGAGGGGGTGTGTCTGCATCAACATTCGAGGAGCACGAGAACATACTCTGTGCCTCTGTTCCTGCTGTTCAGAAGTATTCGGGAGGGTGACTGTAGCCTGTTGTTGCACATAATGTAAGCGAACGCGTATTCAAGTTTCCTTGTCATCCTCACAGATTCGAAGCTTGAAATACGTTGCAATGAATAGGCGACCATAATTTTGAGACTCTCATAAGGTGGTCACGCAAGTAGTGTGTAGCAGATTGGCAAAGAGATAATTTGACTGCCCTACCTACCTTTACTTAGGATTTCTTGGAATCTTTCAACGACGCTTTGATTCTTGATAGAAAGAACCCTCAATTGAGTGTAGGCTTGGTCCATCGCCGACTTAGCATCGCGTAGTTTTGGCTTCTTTATCACATCCCAGTTATTGCTCTGCTTTACAATATTTGTCTGGCCACCATGCAGTGGATGAATCGAGTTATGAATCTGTGTAAGGACACGACCCACTGTCGGCCCAAGGCGCTCCTCTCGGCGGTAGTGGTACAGAAAACCCAGCAATAAGAATATCATTGTCCATTATCGCTCAGCTCATCCTTTTCACATAAAACGAGCGGTTGTTAGGAATATGTTCCGAACTGCAAAGAATGTTTGCACTGGAGAGGATGAGCGAAAAGAGTCAATTAAAATGGCAAGCGATATTGCTCAGATGAATGGCTACTGCAATTTTTCAACCACACGAAGAGCTTCTTCTGCTTTCCAAATCAGGGCTCACTTTTTTTACAACTAACACACAAACAGGGGTTAGGTCTGTGTTCAAAACAGCTACTTCAATATTGCTCATCCGCATATCGTCAGTCCATAGGTAACAATCACCGCTAATATGTAGTGGAAATCTAATGGCATTTCATTTGTTACCTCCTTTTGAAAAAAATTACAGAGGTTCGACAAGGTGTGATAGTGTTTGTGGAATGAGATTTTTGTGAACGAGTTATGGCGGCAATCTGCGCGGCGAAATTCGGGTGATTGCAACAGCTCTGGTGCCTATCATTGAGACACAGCTTTGTGGTTAAGCAGGTTGACAGGGTGAGCCGACCCTAATAGTATACTCTACTTTGAATCTGTGCCCCAATGATTCAAATCGCCGCGAAATTCACGGCGCAGATTGCCGCGCGCACCTCCAAGCGGGCAAATGTTCCGTCCCCCCTTCCAAATGCTCAAAATATATCGTGATTTTTCTTTTTGTATTTTTTCAATCATTCCCACTTCTTTCGAAACACATAGAGAGTGCAGGGAATGATTCTACTCTTTCCTTAGAAGTTCGAGTGTCTTATAACCTGCATATGTATTCGTTCAATTCATTTCGAAACGACATGATCAGAATTCGTCGATTAATCCGATCTCTATAGGTGACGTCAATTGTGGTTTGCATTCAACATGAACTAGTAACTTTCCTCTGTTCCCTCTCAATTTGTTCAATTGATGGATTCCATCCGATTGATTTCATCCTTCATAACAAACCTTATTTATTCAGCCGCCAATTTGATCTGTTGCCAAATTTCAACCGCATCACGCTACTTCTTAAGAAATGAGCAATTTCGAGTCAACAATATTCCCGTCCAGTATAATTTGGTCATGGAACTAATTTCTGCACTACCACATACAGCTTGAATCCTCTGTAGATTTGGCGGTTCGGAAACTAGGTCACTTCTGAACTACCTTAGGTCTGAACGCTTATTCGTAACTAACAAGAACCTTGTTTTGACTCGTTGCCAATTAAAATGTTCTGGAAAGAATCGCTGAGATCAGCTTTGGCAATGAAAACAAAAATGAAAATGAAAATTAAAGAAAAAATGTCCCTAAGATAATGATCAAACTTCTGCTAAGAATGACGGTATTGTCGCAGATATCAAAGTTCTCACTGTTGTAATTGCCTGCTCCTTTTTCACTAAAAAATTTTAACTTTATAAAATAACTTGCAGTTGTAAAGTGCGAGTATTTCAATGCTGGTGGTTCAACAAAGGACAGAATAGCGCTTCGAATGATCGAGCTCGCAGAAGCCGATGGAAGGTTGAAGCCTGGGATGACCCTAATCGAACCAACGTCAGGGAACACTGGTATAGGGTTATCTCTTGCAGCTGCTGTGAAGGGATACAGGTGAGACGAAAAAGTTTATTTGTGTAACTCACTAAAGCTCCCGACGCATTAGGATGGGTGCACAGTCTAGGTCCTCCTACTTTGTAGGCGTCGAGGAAAAATATAGGATACCGCTGTTTTTCTCTTTAGCAGCATCATGCATCCTGATTGCCATTTATTCGTAAATTCGAAACGCGCTTGTTTTTTTTTCCCATTTCAGTTGGGATCATGTGGTGGCTTGTCTTTTTCGAGAGGAAACCTTTTCAGACCTGTTGGTATGCACGTATTGAACTAAACTGTAGTACAACCCTATGACATGACTTACTCCAATTTATGATATTTCTATTCGAGTGAACTAAAAGCATTCAAAAAAGTCAGTGACGCAGAACTAGCACGTCTTTGGAGCAACTCAATAATGCGTTGAGATCTTTCATTGTGGTGTCCTACTCTTCCCCAATGTTGCTATTCATTCAGGTGCATCATTGTGATGCCAGAAAAGATGTCCAAGGAAAAAGCCTTGACTATGGAAGCGCTTGGCGCCATCATTGTTCGAACCCCAACCGAGGCAGCTTTTGACTCTGCTCATTCACACATAGGAGTGTCTTTGCGTCTCCAAAACGAAATACCAGGCGCAATAATCCTCGATCAGGTACATAAGATTATGCTCGAAGATGCCTGAATGTCTAATATTCATATTTATAGTATCGAAACGTCGGCAATCCATTGGCTCACTACGAACAGACAGCGGAGGAAATAATTGATGCTCTTGACGGCAAAGTGGATTGTGTTGTGAGTTTCATAAATCGTTGAGAAGAGGAGAATCACGTCATCTGTCTTGGCGTAATTTTCTTCCAATGGTTACACTGAATATTTTGCAAAAATCTACATTAGAATTTCTGAATGAATTTACGAGAGCATTTTCTTTTCGAAGTTTCCTCAAAGACTGAGTAGCTTTTTTCGACTTACTCTGCCGATATGAGATATGTACAGTTCCGATTTCGATTCAAGATGTAAACATGGAAAAATCAGAGGTCACTGATGAATTCGGGGCGAGACAAAATCGATAATTTACTCGAATTGCGCGGATTTCATCCATTTAGTCTGTCCTTGTAAAGCATGCGGTTGAACTTGTGGACCGAAGTATCGCGACAGAGTGAACCTCTCGGCTGAGAATTGTGGCATTTATGCCAGTACATGTCGCCCAACTCTTTCCAACTATGATCATTCCTTTTTTTTTGTCAAAGCTTTCGACATCGATCCGCATGGAATTAGTATGCATGTCTCATAACAGTATGCCGTCACGAGAACACTTTTAATTGTCTGAGCTGCTCTACTGATGTCCTTTGAGTCAACTGCAATCGTCAGTAGATTTCTGTTTCTGTGTTGCCTTCGTTAATGCCATTCTACTAGGTTTTAGGAAGCTGGCCCATGAGGCACCACACTATTTTTATGACATTCAGGGACCGAGACCTATTCGCACGGCAATGTGTCTGGACCGCCACAAGTTCAACCTTATAAAGGGTGGGCAAGACTCTGACCCCTGATCGAATAGACTATGATGAGAATATGGGATTAATGAAAGCATTCTGTGTTTCTCTACGATCCTTCCTGAGCGCGAATGATGACAGCGTTCTGAAAGAGACATCGATCTTGTGGTGCAAGGTCGTTTGAAGGACGCCCGAACTACCGCTCATTACTAGGTTATACGGCGGCCTGCAATAGATTTGCATTCATCTCAGTTGACAAAATGGTATTAGCCTACCGAACAGACGGATAGATGTTCATCAGAGTATTTCGTTGCGATCTTTTTTTTCAGTTTCCCCGTGGCGATTAAATTATAAATCAACGAAATGCTTATACGGTAAGTGCTTGCCACTTTACGCAAGTATTTGAAATGAGCAAAAGACTCACCCATGAAACCCCACAGAGCGCTTTATAAGAATATAGTCACGTTTAAATTGAGACTTCCAGAATAAGCAGCCAAGTAGAAACTTCAAGCATTTTCGGCAGTTTCTTCACATTGAACAACCTTCACCTACAAGTTTTGCGTGCATCATAACTTGCAGTCTTCACGGCTTTTGCATTCCATTTTATTTCGAGATTTTTAAGTTGCTTTTTTATTTGCATTGCTTGCTAAGCTTGTAACTGAACAATTTATAGTTGAGTGGTGATCGCCGAATCCTGGTCTAAAATATGTTGTGATAGTGAAAGCGTTTCTAGTATGCCGCAAAGAGTGCTGTATATTGCGTTCAAAAAAGTAGCCGTGGCCATTTTTCAATTTCGTCATTGAGGATTGAAGATGATAAGCGAAAATCATATGCGAGGGTACCTGAAGTAAGGGATCAACTAGTGACGTTGAGAAGGCCTCTGCATGGTTGACTAAATTTGAAAAGCATGGATCAGCTAGTACTAAATACACTGTGTACCTACTCATGGATATGGAAGGCATAATACGGAAAGTATCATCTTCGTTACCTCTTTTGAGAATCCGTTCAGGAGAATCGGAAGACACTAGGACTTCATTTCTCAATAAATGCACTTTGCTATATGCATTGCAAATAGCATGGCTAATCAATTGATTTTCTCCTTCTCTTTTAGAGTATATTAAAGAATTATGGGTTTAGGTAATTGGCGCTGGAACAGGTGGAACAGTAACAGGTATCGCAAAAAAGATAAAGGAGAAAATTCCAGGTTGTCTGGTGAGTGAATCTTTCCAGTTCTGTTGGGGATTTTTAGCATGAGTATTGTAAATGTCAGGTGGTTGGCGTCGATCCAGAAGGCTCGATACTGGCTGATCCCACTAAAGGAGAAACGAGTTTCTATGAGGTTGAAGGTGTGGGATATGACTTTGTGCCCGGAACCCTCAACCGATCTGTGGTTGACAAATGGTTGAAATCAACTGACAAGGTTTGTTCATGCTCAATTTGCAAGCCTGAAAGATCTATGTCTTTTTTTGTCCAGGAGTCATTCGAGGTGGCTCGTGAGATGATTCGTAAAGAAGGGATCTTATGTGGAGGTTCTTCTGGCTCAAACGTTCACGCAGCGTTGGAGATTGCCCGTGGCTTCCCAGCGGACAAAATCGTTGTGGCCATATTACCCGATGGCATAAGGAACTACCTGTTGGTTTTATTTCATTAAAATATTATTTATTTTACGAAATTTGACTTCGTCTGAATGTAAGGCCGCCTAAACCATGAGATTGTCATGCTGTAGCGACGTTAGAACGGTACACTAATATCGTGTTTCTTTTTGCACGAAGCCGCGAAAGTTACTAGTAATTGTTGCTACAAATTCCATTACCCGCTTCAGCATTTTATATAGGGTCTCCCTCAACCCCATCGTTCCTCATACCCATCGTTCCTCATACCCAAACTTCTCATACCCAACGCAGTTGTTTTTTCTATATTAATATACAAATGATGATGTGTGAATTTACTAACATTTACTGGTCATTCCTAAAACTGCTAAATTTGGAAAGACAAAACTGCTGAGAGAGCGATAGTGTAAAGGTGATAAGGAGCACCTTTCTGATACTCAAAATCTGCAAAATATTCAAAATGCGCTGAAAGCTTCATCCCTTTATTGTGAATGAAGAGCCGCTCCACAGGCAGTAGGATATTTGAATGTATTAAGAGCTAGGAGCATGTTGCAAGGCGCACTTTCTGACATAGAGTTTGTATGTGGATAGTGATTGATAGCCGGGGTGTATATGTTCTTATATGCTAAACGTGAGCAAACTTACTGCAGACAAGCAAAAGTTTGAAATCCAGATCATTCTAAGCCTGACACGTTTCTGGACCTTTTTTATTAAAGGTTTCCACCGCGGAAAATTTGCTGGCAAACTCGTTCTGAAATCGGATGGGCGAGTGGGGGCTGGTGCCTTTCCATAACGGTAGACGGGTTGAATAAGACTTTCAAAGGATTGCCCAGGTCCACAACCAGCTACGTGCTGTTGGTGGGGATGGTTCCGCTGAGACATAAGCCTAATTGTAAGCCGACGTGATGTGGTAGTCGAAATATTTCTGCAACAGATCTTTATCACGCTAAATGGCCTCTTGCTCAGTGTTCTTATGGAAAACATAACGATAAACGATCGATAGTTGGCAGAAGCCTATTGTACGATATTTTCGTCTCTGTTCCAACCTCTTGTAGCTACATTGTGGCGACGGTTCTTTAGGGCCCTTTAGATTTAGACTAGAATTTATCGTTCCACGAAAGTCGACAAACAGTAGTACGCTTATTAGCCGTACCTCTTTGCTGCTGCTCTACGCCAACCCTGAGGATACGGTGCATAGTTGATTTTTATGGCTGTCTATTGAGTGCTTGCTTGAAAAAACTTTTCCACTCTAATCAAAGAATCGCTGGCATTCCTGGGAAGCCGATTCAAGGTTGGCTGAAAACATCTCTAGCAAGACAAGACCTATGCCAGATCGTCTTTTTAATCCGGGATCCGTTACATTTACAGGGAACTACATAGGCAGAGCTCTTTGATTTGATCTTATGTATAAGCATTATTAACTGAAAGATGAACGCTTGTTCATGATAGATGTACCTACCTACGGTAACTCTTACTTATTTTCCACGCGCTCGCGCAATGAGAAAGGCAAGGTGCCGCTTGTTGATAGCATCGATGACCTCAATATTTACCATTGGAAGGGATTGCTGGAAGTAACTTCCAAATCATAAAGTGATCTCGATTCAGAACCAAGTTTGTAAGCAACGATTGGATGAAAGTGAGACACTTCAACGTTACTGGTGATGCTTGAACGGAAGGAAGCCCTTCGTTTACAGAGGACGATACTTTTTTACTAAGTAAGATGAGATGAGATGCTATCATTGACTAGTATATATAAAATTGAGCATGGTCATAACCTCATTTCAGAGCAATACAGAGTATTTATTTTACCATTCTTTTAAAGTATATTGTATGTTGTTAACTCACACTCGTAGTGTAGATCCTTATTGCAGCGGCAGTTACTTCTTAAGAACTTATTGTTTGAAAGTTGTTGCGTCCGTTAATAAAGATGAGTTCAGGAAAGTTTTTCATAGAAATTGCAAAACCGATAAGTCACCTTTCCTTTCAGAATGATTACAAAGCGATTTTTTTCTCCGTTCGCTGTGCCGCAAAACTGCCTGCCTTCCCCATCTAACACTGAGGAGCAGTGCAGATTGAGTCAAGCAATCTCATCCCACAAACACACGTTGGGTTAACGACGCGGATTTTTCATTTGGAAAGAGTCAGGCCGCGAAATGACAATGACAGCTGAAATAACAGTTTTGAATGATCGAACATACACTGCAGGAGGGGCAACATATCCGATGGGCTGGAAAAATCGCACTTACAGTGGCAGACGGATGTTAAAGTTAGTTTGGAAAAGGATGCGTTAATGTGAAATAGGATATCGGTGGCGGAGAAAACGAGAGAACTCGCAAAATAAGTTATTCTTTTTCGATATCATTCGTTTCACGAGGTTGTGATGACGAAAGGGGTGTCACCAATAATCAGTAAATAAAATCACCAATAACTTGGACAAGATTTCAATCACTCTATGGCTAAGAATGAATTCTATTCAAATGATTTTATTTACGACAAGCGTCCTATACGTTTTGTCAGAGAGTTCATTGAAAAGCGAATCTACAAGATCAATGCTCATTTACACTCATTGGTACTCTACCGGAGAAAGGCGTGAATTTCTGCGTGTTCCGCAACGCACAGGCCTTCTTCCTAGGACTCACTTGAAATGGCTGGTCGACCTGCGTTACTGTTTTCAGTGCAGTCCATCTATGTTTTCCTTTAGCAAAAATACACATTCTTACGAGATCAACGGAAATGGTTTTCCAAAGGGCGTAGAGTCCCCTGTTTCCCCTCTTTTTTGGCGCCTCACAATTCCCCATCAGTGTTTCCACCTTCAATCATTTTTCATCATTTATCTCTTCTCATTCAAGTAACATCTCAAACTCCGGAGGCCCCACTGTGTGAAACGTTGAGCTAAGGGCTAGGACTCGTTAACGCAGTGAGCCATGAAGACCGATTCGTGCGAAATCCTGACAACCGAATTGGACGTCTGGGGATGAGAAGATTGGGCTCAACCTCTGCCCTAATACTCCTAGCTGCCTACGCACCACCATTAGCACGTTGACGACAATGTCGGTCAATGTTGACCGACAGCCAGTTTGTCTCGTGGGACGATGTCGGTCAATGGTGACCGGCAGTACTGTAAGTCATCCGAATGAAGAGAAACTCAGGTTTTTTTCGTTTCAAACTTTACATTTATTTATTAGCTCACTAAATTTAGCGTCGACCTGTGATCCTTCTGAATCTAAGGTTTTTATGGAAATATTAAGTATTAAGTGAAGAGTCATACATCATATCAGATTACAATTAAAAAGCTAACGTGATTGGAGTCATTTACCAAACTCAACAATTATGGACACTTTGAAAACATTCAAGGCAACAAAATTGATCGCATTTATCGCACTTTGTTTTGGTTTTCTTTGCAGTATTTCTAGCTACTGTTCTGCCATGGGTCCTTGATATAAGGCTGTAGCATTCTTTACAGAACCTTTTATCCTTGGACTTCATTCGAGGATCTGAAACAAGCTTTCTTCTAGATGATGGCCTGTCGTAGGAGCTGGTGCAGTGATGTCATAAATGAGAGCATCGACAATTGATCCTTGAAGAAGTTGATTTTGATTTTTTTACCTTCTCACAATAGAGGAACCAAGCATTAACCAAAGCCGTTTGGGTGATCAGATGGTAAAATAGTCGGATGCACCACTCGCCCGTCTTTCTCATATAAGGCGTGTAAGCCGCCATATGATCACTAAGATCCACAAAGCCTTTCATCATGTTGTAGTCGGCAACAACAAGTGGTTTCCCATCAGGCTGGCAACGTGCATCGTGTTTGGTAGAAAGCAAATGGATGATTCTTCGATCTCTCCACTTTAGGATCAGCACTCCCCTTTGGTTCTGCTGGTAGAAGAGTTCTCCTCGTTTCACCTTTTTGTCTTTCAGCGCAGAGGGTAAGCCTTTTCTATTCCTTCACAATGTACCTACTAAGTCGGTGCGTTTCTTCAGAAGTCTGTGGGCCAGTGGTAAGCTCGTGTACCAATTGTCGGTGCACAAGCACCTGCCTTGCTTCAAAAATCCAACCATAAGTTCCATCACAACGCTCTCAGCTACAGTCCTCGTTCTCTTTGGATTTCCCCCGGCGTAGACCTTTACTTTCAGCGTGTAGCCTGCTCTGGAACACAACTTAAACAGCTTGATCCCAAACCTGTGCCTCTTGGCTCCACTATACTGCCAGAAGAAACTCGCCCGCGAAAAGGCACCATAGATTCATCGATGCACAACTCCTTTTCCGGTTTATTCATCCTCTGGGACTTAGCGTTCAAGTAGTTAAAAATTGGCTGATACTTGTACAACTTGTTACTCCTGTCTGCCTCGCTATTATCAGCAAAATGGAGGTTTCGTTGGAGCTGTTCGAATCGATCCCTAACCATAATGTCACCGGCTATGGAATGTCCATTTCTCGCTAAATTTCTAGGTTTTAGGGACCAATAGTTTCTCTGGTTGTCCAAGGGACACCGCGACATTTTCAAGCAGAGGCCGATAAATATTTTGAGTTCCTCAATATCTGTCTCTTTCCACGAATAACTCTTCTGATGGCCATATATATTCGTTTGTGTCGCAACCATCTCACGCAGTTCCTCGGAAAAGAACAACTCATAAAAGTTGAGAGGGGTTTCACAGTATTCCACATCTTGATGTGTTCCTGTCGGCTCGCTGAAAATCCATTTATCGTTGCAGAATGCATCGTCAGTCCAGATATTATCTTCCGTGTCACTGTCGCTATTACATTCGTCGGTAACATCTGTATCAAAGTCTTCCTGATCCCGCACAGCCGCAGGAACCAATCCTTCCTCCTCAGGTTCATACAAGTCCTCGGCGTCGCTCTCGAGCAGTAAATCGTAGAAACATCTCTCCAGGACATCACAGGACATCAGCATCATCGGCCATAGAACCCATGTTCACGATAAGTGTTGGGACTCTAGAAGAACCCGGGATTATTGTTATCCACGACCTATTTGAACTCCTTCCAACAATTGGCGCCTTCACTCTAATCTTAATCCCGCCG